AAAAAAAAAAAAAAAAAAAAAAAAAACCCAACTAACTTTAATAAAAATATAATTTAAAACATAAACACCATTTTTATATATTATCATATTTTTCAAGTGATATAAAAAGATTTATTATATTTTAATGATGGTTGATTTGGCATTAATATTGAATATGTAAAATAAAAATAATTTCATATACATTTATAAAAAAATTATTAACAAATGAAAAAATCGTATGTTATCAATCTAATTTATTATATTATTTGAGTTGAATTCTTTTTCTTCTTCTATATTATTACTAGTACAGAACCCGTGCGATGCACGAGATGCACAGTTTTAAGGCCATTTATCCAGCCTTATAATTATATAAATGAATAAAAAAAAATGTACGAGATATATATAGTACGTGACATGTGCAAGACACAGAATATATTTATTTGTGGATTATTATACTATAAGATGCAATATTCAATAAATATTTTACGATACACGAAAATAAATATAAATAATGTAAATATCTAAATACATACACGATATGCAGAATAAATAAGACAAATTGCAAATCTGAAAGTATAATTAAAAAATAAATAGAAAATATATTTGACTAAACATTTACAATAATATCTAAATACATACACGAAAAAAATAGAATATACGTTTCAATTTTCAAAATTAAAACAAAAATTCAAATAATTCAAATAATTTATTTTGAGATTTGTAATTTATAATGGGTAGAGTAAATATATATTGCTTTTAATATTTTTATTAGAAAATCTGAATCTGAATATACATAAATTAGTTTGAACAAAATCAGAACAAATTTCTATATAATTAGATAATAAATTAAATAATAAATAAAGCTTTTTTTTATTTTAGTAAAGATTTTACGTACTTTTTTACTTATCGGATGTTATGAGGTTTTTTTTTGTTAAACTGATTTTATGTGATATAATACAAATACAATTAGAGGATTGAACAAAATCAGAACAGATTTCCATACAATTAGATAATAAGAAGGAATTAGATAAGAAAAAGAAGGAATTAGATAAGGAATTTTGAATCTGCAGTTTTTTTAGCATAGATAGACTTTACGTACAAATTTTGACTTCACCGATTTTATGAAATTTGTTTTGACAAAATCGATGTTAATATGGAATAAGACAAATAAATAAAGTCTTTTTATTTTAGTAAATATTTTACGTCCTTTTTTTAATTATCATATGTTATGAGATTATTTTCTTAAACTGATTTTATGGGATATAAGACAAATAAATAAAATTCTGAATAGAAATAACAATGCATTAATTACATTGACTTTTCAACCTACTAAATTTGATAAATAAGATACCTTATTATATAAGTATAGATACTCCAATATTAAAAATTTATAATTTATTCTTGTGGTCCTACCCGACTCGATTCCGGATTAGTCGGTTCCTCTGTGGATCCGGAAACCGGAAGGTCCCTGTACCAAAAAAAAAAAATTATAATTTATTTTGTAAATTTTTTAAATTATAAATTTCTTAATTTATTAAGTTAACTGACTATTGTAATTATGTATATATTCACATGCAGGTGGTGCATTGCACCGTTCCCAAATATTACAAAAGCTAGACTTATGATTGGCTGGATGATGTTGTCACCCCGAGGAACTACCTTTAGTTAAAAATAAATAAATAAATAAATAAAAATCCTTTAGTTCAGATCAGACTACAACCAACGGCTCAGATCATCCGATCGTTTTCTCCTTCCCTTCGAAGGAAGCGGAAACATCCCCGCAGGTGCCCCGAAACCCAATTCAACTCCTCATCAAACCCTGCAAAAAATCCATAATCCCCTTTGCTCTTCTCCCCATCTTGTAAACAAAATTCATTCTTTTTTTTTTTTTTGTTTTTTTCG